GCCCAGGGTGATTTTTAGCCAAGAACGGGGTCAACAATAAAGTTTTATTTGTCAAAAACGAACACGTTTGGTTTATTTAAATAGTGTGTTTGTTACGGTAGTTCTCTTTTTGAAGTGTGTGGTGGCCCTGAAAAGGGCCGTTTTGTTTGTGTTTTTACGTAAAAACTCATTGGAACTTGACGTAAGATGAACCACGCAGCATGTGGCGCACACGTTCTGCTTTCTCTTCATTCACGATGAATCCAATATTGCAATAATCCATACCTTGGTGAGTGGTTTGAAGCACTTAGCTTTGGTTTCAAAACGTAGCACTTCGCTGACTGAATTCATAATGGAAGAGCATCACCAGGCGATGGACGCGGGGCTTTTTGGCAACGACCGCAAACGTATCCGTGTCCAGCCATTGGTTGGCCATGTAGAGGTCAAAATACGCGTTCTATTTTTACGTGTTAAGTTTGGCTCTTCCGTTTCACCCCCTCCGGAATGTTCTACTTTCGCAGCCTAATCGCATGTTTTTTCAAAAAACGTCGAAAAAACACAAGAATTAGTAGAAATGTTCCTCTTTTGGGCAGATTATTGATAGAGAATAATTTCTTTTATTGCAAAAATGCTGAAAAACCGTGAGTTTTTGCTTTAGTTATTTTTATTGTTTCATAACCTGTCTGCTATTCTTCAGTAATTACGATGTGATGTATCAATACGTGCCTGAACAAAATTATGCTAATGAGGTCATCGCCATCTGGGATTACAAGCGGTAGTTTTTCCCAGCAGTTTCGACTTGCACTGATCACGGTTACTAAAAAAGTAACCGTGCATTGATTACAATACTTACCATACTTTGTAGCCAATTTCAGTGAGTAATACAACTTCATTCGCTGACGTAAAACAAGTTTTATTCTTGAAATTCGACCCTGTGTCTTAGTGTTCCCACAGTTCTTGACCGAGTGCTCACGTTTATTGAAACCTCGCATAAATCAAGAAATAAGTACGTGTACAAAGTGTACGAAAGCATTCCTTTATTTGACCTTATCATACGATCACAAACACAACTTTTTAAAATCTTTTTTGGGGTGGTCCTCGGGTAAGCGCCCACCCCCAATTTTTCCCGATTTTGTATGTTCAGGCCCCTGGGCGCGTGCCCGGGGTAATACGGTATTTATGGAAGTCACTGTGACCCTTCGTTTTCAGGCCTACTGTGAAATCACAACTACAATATTTTCCTTGACTTTGTCTCTCTTAAAGTGATATGCAACCAGTTTGGGAATTATCCGCATTTGGAGCATTAAGGTAGCGGGACTATTATTTGCATACTTGTTTTCATCTTTTAATTGGGATCAAATGACTACAAATAGACCCAGGAAAGTATATATTTTTGGAATCGCCAGACTTCAAGCTTTTCAAAGGTGTGTTTGTCATGCCCATATCTGCATTCTACGGTGCGTTACTTAATCAAAAGTGAAAAATTACTTTTTTGGTAAAAAAAATAATTACGCATTTATGCTGGTGGTAAGAAGTTTTGTTTTCACTTTTCCTAGTTGTTCAATAGTCTGGTAAATTGAATGTGTCTGGTCAGTTTTATTCAAGTAACGCGTTTTGAAAAGTAGTGTCCTGAATTTTAATTTCTGTTTTAGTCGCATCATGGAACTATAAACCCCAGGAAGAACAACCACTTTGTTTCCTTTGAACTATGATAGTTGCCGCGATGTCGAATGTTTATTTTGACTGTTTATTTCGTCGCATTAAAAGTAAGCCGATTTACGCAAATGAACGTTTATCTCCGACTATCGGTCATTTTCAGAGTCAATCGGGCGACTTCGAGAGATCACGTGATCGAGTTGTTTCGGTTATAACATAAAAAAACAATGGCGCCAAGACAAAAACACTGATAAATGAGCGACATTCAACGGGGAAAAAAAACACATTGCCACTTCTGGCGATCGAAGGGAAACACGGAATAAGTCGGGATATCTCGACAACAAACAGCATACCAAACCCCATGTTTCGCAAACTTTCGCAACCTTATTTTTTTGAGGGTTGAAAAAAACAAGAAGTAATCTAAAAACGACATTGAAAATTATGAAAACTCGCTAAAACTCCGACCCGTTGCATGATTTCCGATACACTGAAG